CAAGCCCAACCCTATATATTGTTAACAAGTAGTAAAAGAACTTAAGTCATCATTGACCCCTGTAGTTGTGTTATAATCATGCAATTCATTCTCACAGTAGACAACAACGGCACTGACGTTACAGCTCCTCTCTGCTTATTTTCTCTGGCACTTGGCAGCCTGCCAGCCTTATTAAAAAAAATGTTACCCCAATATTTCATATTCCTGATACGTGTATGTGGTACTAAAAAAGGTATCCTGTTTTCTTTCTATTTCTTCCTTTGTTTGAAATCCCTGGTGATCCTACTTTCCTATTTCAAACTGACCACACTACGCATAGAAACACATCCTTCTCAGTGTGGTCAGTTTTCTGTTTTTTCTAGGGGAACAGCCTCCCTGTCCTCCATTTACCAGACATGTACTGATGCACAGTTATTCACTGGGAAGATCAGTGTACTGCTGCTTCTCCAACCCCACTTCTCAAAGCCCCTTATGCAGCTGAGAACATAGGTTATGCATAATGTTTTTATAAACTGTATATAAAACTGTATAATGTTTTGCCTTTTATTTCTATTTTAACCACTTACTGACTGCCTCATGTATGAGTACGGTGGTAGAACAGCTCTCCTGCACTGGATCAGGTATCTAATAAGCTCTTCTGAGTAGGGTGCACATGTGCACACACACGCACCACCATGGCTGTGCTGTGATTAGTCCCAGCACAAGCCAATCAGCAGGTCCCAGCCAGAACCTGGTGATCAGCGAAGAGGATGACAGGACAGAGCTCTGTGATTTATAAACAACACAGTTCTGTGTCCTGACAGCAGGGATGAACAGGTTTTTGTTTCCCTACAAAGCAGGGAATAAAATCTGGCACATCCCTTAGTAAAAACAGCATGCATTGAATACATCAAGCAGTGTTAGGCACACAGTTAGCCCTTTAATTGCCCCTGTTCCTGCCCCCTGTCGTCAGGTAAGTATGACATGTTTGTTATAAAAAAAAAGCTTTAGCTTTTAGTGCAAATGAGCAACAAAACATTGTCTATGTAATCCTAGCTTTATTTAGATTCCTATTTTACCTAAGCTTTCTCCCATTTATAAGGATTTGTTCCATTCATTTCAATGAACGAAAGATATGCTTAATACCAGCTCAATGCATTGCTGAAATGCTTTAATCTTGGCAATATCTGTCACATTCATCTGTGATTTCACTTGTTACTTCCTCTTATGGATTTTCTTAAACATGTCATTTAAAAGAAAAAAAAAATTGCTCTGACTAATAATTACTCATAATTATTAGTGATTCAGAATGACCTTTTAGCAGGTGACGATAACATATTTCTGATGTTTACAAAAGTAAACTGCAATTATATGAAGCGTTATTAGTTGAGGAGAAAAAGGACTACAATTATGTCAGTTCACTCCTAATTAGATATGAAAAACAAGGAAAATGTCATAATATAATTTATAAGACAGTAAGAAAACACAAATATATAACATTCAGTAGCTGATTTATTGATATACTGAAGGACAGTATACAATATGCGTACACTGTAATATTGAAATAGACATTTTTGAGTAGGTTCAAAAGTATGTAAAGCAGACACATCAATCTTCATAAGATATTGGGGTAACTGGCCATCTCCTGCATTAAAACTCCTGCTCCTGTTGCTGTCAACCAAATCCTGTGAGGAGGGGGAGTGGCCAAACAGGACTGTGTGTGTCTACGCACGCACACAGCCCATCTGGGGAGTGAATCCACAGGTGTGCCCCCATAGTAGATGGCTTGAGGAAGAGGGTGAGCAAAGAGTGTCTGTGGGGGACCCCAGAAGAGGAAGTTTGAGGTCACTCTGTACACTACCATTGCATAGGGCTGGTGCAATAAGTATAACATGTTTATTATTTGAGCACCCATGACACCAATGGACTTCAGTGGGGTTTGGATTAACATTCAGAACTTTCGCACAATTCAGCAAACCTCCTGCAAACTCAACCCACATATGTTTGGCTCATCCCTAGTAACGGGTTCACTGCGTATTAGGCCTGTTACTTACCTGCAATAACATTTACTTACTCTGTTTCCTCATTCAATTTTGAAGATCTAAGAAAAAATTCCAGATATGGTGGAACATGTGAATGTGTCCCATGTCTCTCACAAAGCATCCCTGAGCTCTGTGCTCGAACCCAGTATATGGTCAGGACTTACATAGGGATTTAGAGGGCTCTGATGGGCAAAAGAGATGATGAGTTTCTGAATGGAAGGTAGGCAATGGCTCCTCACTATGCCTTCTATCCAGAAAACCTTTCAGTTTGCCCTAAATAAACAATTCATGGAATTTCAGCTAATGATAACAATAATTATGAATAATTATATTTCATAGCAGGGGTGCGAGAGTGAGGGCCACTTAAGTGATTCAGTAACCGGCTGTGGGCCACAACAATGAACATTTTTCTCCTGCGGCCACTGAATGCCAGCAGGAGGGAGAGGAGGAGAAGCCGAATTTCAGCTGTTGGAGGAGGAAAATAGTGAGGATCTGTTCCTGTATATGACACCCCCCATCACCCTCCTGTCCAAGTGTAAAACAGAACGTGACAAGGAGGCTGCACAAACCCCCTGAGGTGTGGGGAGGGGTCACCATTACAACCCTGTTGCTACACCAGTGGTTAGGGAGGTGTGGTAAAAACATGTCTCAACTATGAGGTTTTACATTCCTGAACTGCAAATGTAAATGAGCCCTTATCTTCCTGAGCCCCCTATTAGTTTGCTTTCACACTAATGTCCTGTAGTTTACCAGCACCGTGATTGCACCTGCAACTCTCCTGCAGGTTAGCTGCACTTTGCCATAGACGTCTATGATTTCTTGCAGGCGTGGTGCACTTTTTGAAAATTTTCAGAAAACACACCAAACTCACAGGATATAATAGAAATTTATGGTTCAGTGCAGCTAACCTGCAGGAAAGTTGCAGATGCATTGTGCTGCACCCTTGGATAAGTGTGAAAGCAGCCTAATAATTGTTAACCCTTTTATAGGTGCTAATATGCCCATTGCAAAAGAACAGTGTATGTGTAGTTTAATTCACTCACCTTTTTTTCCTCCTCCAGTTTTTGCTGTTTCCCTGATCTACCCTAAGCACCTCAAATTAACCTGTGCAACAACTACCCCCATCCACCCCCCCACACACACATAAGCGTCTTCTAGATAAAGACCCAGACAGCTAGAGATCCTAGTGATATCTTCAGACCAGGGCCTCCTTACCTTTTTTCCTGCACTCGAGCGTGGCTTTTATTTTACAGAAAGTAGGCATGCTGGAATATATTCCATAGATCCTTGCAAGAGCTGTGATGTTTTCCATACATGTTTTCCTAAACTCATTGATGTGTGATATCATATAATGTAGTGATACAAGTGACATATGGGAAGTGTCAAGACATTTTGACAAAGATCTACATAACCGAGCATATACGTGTTTTTTTCTATGCTCTACATAGCGGAAAATCAAACTGTGAGTAAGAAAACGAGAGTGGGGGAAGACCCAATCTAGATCTCTCCAGCAAAGGGGCCTGCTGTGTCCATGGTCACTTTGTTATTGCCTTCTATAAAAATTCAGTACATAATTTTGTTATTCATCGTTACTGATAAAGTGAACAAAGATAAGCCAGCACTCATAGGCTGAAAAGGATGTTAGCCTGATATACAATGATATATTAAAAGATATGTTAGGAGTAATAAATGGGCATATTAAGTGAATGTGGATTGTTACTGTTATTGGAAGTGAAAATATAAACTAAGAATGAGCTGAGTAATTTCAGAAACATTACTAGTTTTACTGGGCAATTAGAGATTTCCCTGAAATGGAAACTCTTAATTTATCACATTTACTTACTTAGGAATTTCTTGGGAAAAGACGAAGCAACATATTCTTTTAGTTCTTTAATTACAGGGTTATTTTTTCTGTGTTTTTGTATATGACCATTATTTGTGTATAGTAGCTCTTTTTTTTTTCTGTTTGTAAAAAACCCATAAAATAATGATCCTACTGAGGGGCCATTGTTTGGCATTAAAACAACCCTGAAAAGTAATTTAAAGCCTATGGGGTTGATTTACTAAAGGCAAATAGACAGTGTACTTTGCAAAGTGCAGCTGCACTCTGAAAGTGCAGTTGCTCCAGGGCTTAGTAGATGGGATAAAGCTTCATTTTGCAAAGAATACCCAATCATGTGCAAGAAAAATACAAACAAAAATGCATATTTGCTTTCACATGATTGGATGATGGAAGTCACCAGAGCTTCTGCACATTTACAAGCTCTGGAAAAACAGCACTTGCAGAATGCAACTGCACTTTGCAAAGTGCACAGTCTAGTTGCCTTTAGTAAATCAACCCCTTTGCTACCCTTAAAATACCTCAAAATCTAATCTAATTTCACTTTCCTTATTGGCACCAAAATGGCAACATTGCCAAAATCTCACAATTTTTGCAACAACTTCATCTTATGCTGATGCTTCTTCCTGAAAAATATTTGCAACTTCCAGCCATTTTAACATACCATAAGAATGCTTGTATGTTTACATATGTTATATATGTCAACATAAAATAATCCAGGGAACAGTGCTCAAATAAATTTGAAGACTAAATTAATACATTTGCTTTAGAAAAAGTTATGCTCACCTTGAAATATTATATAACATAGCATGAGTTATTATTAATTCATTTTCCAGACTATTCCTACTTTTTAACAAGATGCTATTTCCTCAATTTCAGCAACTTAGTAAAAGTCTAATCAAGATTGTGAACTCTCCCCTGCAACTCTTTCCATCCGTGTGAATTAAATCCTGTGCTCCCAAGTTAGTGCAGGAGGGAATAACAGGTAAAATTGATTGGCGTGAGTGAATTGCACTTGCATCTTATCAGGCTTAGACCAGTCATTACCATTGCAAGCAGATCTACCGGTACCAGTGGACTCTGAGCCTCAGAAGGCCATGGACTTGAAGGCTTATATGTTTCTAAACCCAGGACCCTGCATTCACTATATCTGGTCTCCCACAGTACGAACTGCATGGAAATACAATTATTTTAGTAAATATAAACTGCTAAATACATTTCCTCATCAGCAGTTAGAGCTTGTCTTGTGACTACTATCAGTGTCCAACAGAGCACATGTTAAAGCTTGTAGGAGGAGTTTTTATTCTCCTCTAGGAGGATGCCAAACCCCTGACCTCTGTCTGGACAGTGCTGATCGGCCCCGTGCTGATCGGCCCCGTGCTGATCACATGCACTCTCTCAAAAAACAAAAAAACCTCTCTAGCAATACACACTAAACTGAGCATGTGCAGAGTGTTTCCACACCATATGTCTTATCAGGAGATAAGAGGAAGACACTGGAAGAAGGGGAGGATCAGAGAAGTCAGGATCAAACAGCATTTTTACACAATGTGGAGGATTAACCCCTTAGGTTTCACAGTGAGTATAACAAGCACGCTTTACTGCATAAAGAGACTGATTTTACTGTTGTGGGTTAGTAACACTTTAAGTGGAGACACAGAGAAAATGGCTTTTTGGTACAGTATATTATATGATGGTTGTAATGAGGTGTAGCCTCTAAGCTCTTCTAAAGCTGTAAAATGCCTTAAAGAGAAACTTAATTGCATTTTCAGGGATCGTGTATTTTAAATTATGATTGTAATATTTACCTTGAAGTAATTCTTTATGTGATTTTAGCATTTTTCTATAACACTTTTCCTACACTGGCTGAACAGCTTATTGCATTATGTGGAACAGTGTTCCAGCTTTATGGTAAGATATGTGTTTTAGTTTGTTAGCTGAGTTTATGGGCAACTGATAACGTACACAATTTGGCCAAAAGTTTGTGGAACCTGACCATCACACATATAGGAGCTTCTTTTTGCCAGATTCTTTGCCACCTACACTCTTCTGGGAAGGCTTTCCACAAGATTTTGGAGTGTGTCTGTGGGAATCTGTGCCCGTACAGCAAAAAGAGTATTTATGAGGTCAGACTGATTTTGGATGAAATACCTCACAATCAAGCTGTTGAGGTCAGGCCTCTGTGCAAACCACTCCAGTTCCTCGAGACTAAACATGTTAAACAATGTCTTTATGGAGCTGGATTTGTGCACAGGGGGCATAGGCATACTGAAAAAGAAAATGCCCTTCTCCAAATTAATGCCACAAGCTTGTAAGCACACATTTGTATATAATGTATTTTTATGCTGTAGCAGGGCCAGATTAAAGCGGTAGTAAATTCCGCTTTATGACTTGTACCTATGCTGGAGTATGCTGTCCATTGAGAGCACCGTGCCACGACCATGACTCCCGTGAGCATGCATGGGAGTGAAGCCATTGTGGCCTGGCAATTCAAATGGAAGACCAGCTGAAGATGGAAGCCGCTAACAGTGGTGACAACATGCGACTGGAGGTCTTTGCTTTAAAGTAAGTCTTTCATAATGTGCTAGTATGTGGTGCATACTAGCACACTAAAACTTGAACCATCCGGGGGCCCAAATTTATTTATTTTTAATCTAGGTAGCACTTTAATGTGGTTCAAAAGCCAGTACATTTTTTTTTACCTTAATGAACTACCTGCAATAATGTAAAAACAGTTTTTTTGCTGCCTGTCCTCCCTCTTCCCTGTGTGAGAGGGGAGAGAGAGAAGAAGAGATCCAGCATTGTGCAGGGCTGCATCTCTTCTCCCCTCTTCCTCTTTACACAGGACTTGAGCAGTAGAAAATATATTGGCCCCTGCTGCTTCCAATCAAATGCTGTGAGGAGGAAATGGGGGGAAAATAGATGTATAAATAGATTGGGTATGGATGAAAATAAGGCAACTGACTTTGGCCTTTATTTAGAAATGATGAGGAAAATCCCTTATGTCCCGTAACACAAGTCCTCTTTCTACTGAGTGTGCAGGTTCTTCAAGGCAAATGAGGATGTAATACACCTGCATGGCTAGGAGACAGAGATTGAGACTGAGATAAAGAACAGTCAGATCTTGGTAAGTGTGGGAGGAGAGGGTGGGATCGGTTTGCTCAGGGTAAAGAGGCAAAAAGCATATGCATACTTTGAAGGGAATTGATCAAATCAGGAGCAGAAGCAGCTGCGCATGGCAACCAATCAGCTTCTACCTTCAACTTCTTCAGGTAAGCTTTGAAAATGAAAGATAGAAGCTGGATGGTTGTTACATACAACTGCTCCAGATACTGGCTGCTTACGTTTTGATAACTGTTCATATTTCTTATAACGTGCACTTACTCTTTAAGGACATGATAGTTAGCAGAAAAATCAGTGGTGCCCCTTACCCTTGGTGCTCTAAGCATGTGCTTAACTTGTCCAGTGTCTTTTTCCAGGCCTGTACTGTAGCATTAACAGTTCCCTTCTAAGGAAACACTTGAACTCATTAATTTGGATGGGTGTCAACATACTTTTGGCCATATAGTAAGTTTGATGGTCAGTTTTCCACAACCATTTGGCCATACATAACATATGGTCACACTCATCTAGCGCCTCTAGTTTTTTTAAATTGGAGTCATATTTTGCATTTAAAAAAAAATCTTTAGGTTTTAAGCATTTTTAATCTACATCAAGAACTAAGGTGCATTTAACCACGTGTTCACAGGTCACATGATACATTGTATTACTAATAACTTCTATTGACCCCAAACCCCCCAAAACTCACAAAAATTCATAACTAATATGAAACTCATAAGACACTGCAGCACAGACATATGGACTTACAGATCTGTATGACAATTCTATGTTTACTCTGGCTTCTCTTTGGTTGTTGTTGTACCACTAGGAAATGTGTAAATTAGAGCAAAGCCTTATATAAACTTCAAGAATGTGAAAACAGACTTAACCATTCTGTTGTCGTTGAGGATTTTGTGAATTTCCTTTTGACATTGCATACTCCTTATTGCAAGGAAAGAGGCTGTATTACCAATTACTACATATTTCCTTTAATATCAACATTATTTCATTACATTTATTTATAAAACTAAATAGTTTGCACCAATAGTACCAGAAATATAATTTAACAAGATTTTAGAAACAATTGTGGAAATAGATAAAAATACTTTTCTACATTTTTTTTCTTGTTACTAGTCAACAACATCTCTACTATTTATACTGTATATTAAATTGAATGACTGTACAATTTCATCATTCTTATTTTGCATAGTAGATATTGGTGACAGTTTGCAGCTATATTTCCATAAAGGAGAGGAAAGATACTAGGCAATGCCACTTTCATTATTTTTAATATCCACTGTGTGCGTTGGCTGGCAAATCAAAACTGTTAAACCAAGCAGAATGAAATTGTATGGAGAGTCAGACGATGTGCAAAACTGTTATTATCAGAATGTTTGCAATAATTACACTATAGGATTTGCAATTTTCCAGTATTTAGTTATATATGTTTTTAAGAGATATGTTATCACCCTAGCTAAAATCTCAATTAGATGTATGACTCACAGCTCAGCTGAAAACATTTTTTTAGCTTTCCGCTGGTTACATCAGCTGAGCTGTGAATGGAAGGTTGAACTTTAAAGCCTGGCCTTGACATAAAATATATATATATATATATATATATATATATATATATATATATATATATGTATATATATATATATATATATATATATAATACTTTGTATGTCAAGGCCAGGAGTTTACTTGACTTGATGCTGTACTCTGATTAAAAAGTGATCCTTTTTAGCAGTGTGTTTGTGTGTATGTGTATATATATATATATATATATATATACATACATACACATATACAAACACGTTGCTCAAAAAAAAAATAAAGGACCACTTTTTAATCAGAGTACAGCATCAAGTCGATTAAACTCCTGGGATATTGATCTGTTAAGTTAAGTAGCAGAGGGGGTTGTTAATCAGTTTCAGATGCTTTGGTGTTAATGAAATTAACAATAGGTACACTAGATGGGCAACAATGAGACAGCCCCCCAAAACAGGAATGGTGGAGGCCACTGACATTTTGTTCCCTACTCATTTTTTCTGACTTGTTTTCACTAGTTTTGCATTTGGCTAGGGTCAGTGTCACTACTGGTATCAGGAGGCGATACCTGGATCCTACAGAGGTTGCACAAGCAGTACAACTCCTCTAGGATGGCACATCAATACTTGCCATTGCTAGAAGGTTTGCTGTGTCTCCCAGCACAGTTTCAAGAGCATGGAGGAGATATCGGGAGACAGGCAGTTACTTTAGGAGTTCTGGACAAGGCCATAGAAGGTCCTTAACCCATCAGCAGGACCGGTATCTGCTCCTTTTTGCAAGGAGGAACAAGATGAGCACTGCTAGGGCCCTACAAAATGACCTCTAGCAGGCCACTGGTGTGAATGTCTCTGACCAAACAATCAGAAAGAGACTTCATGATGTCCTCTAGTGGGCCCTGTGCTCACTGCCAGGTACCATAGAGCTCGATTGGCATTGTCCACTTAACACCAGAATTGGCAGGTCTGCTACTGGCGCCCTGTGCTTTTCACAGATGAGAGGAGGTTCACCATGAGCACGTGACAGACATGAAAGGATCTGGAGAAGCCGTGGAGAACATTATGCTGCCTATAACATCATTCAGCATGACCGTTTTAGTGGTGAGTCAGTGATGGTCTGGGGAGGCATATCCATGGAGGGACACAGACATCTACAGGCTAGACAATGGCACCCTGATTGCCATTAGATATTGGGATGAAATCCTTGGACCCATTGTCAGACCCTACGCTAGTGCAGTGGGTCCTGGGTTCCTCTTGGTGCATGACAATGCCCGGCCTCATGTTGCGAGAGTATTCAGGTGGGTCCTGGAGGATGAAGGAATTGATACCACTGAATGGCCCCCACACTCACCTGTCCTAAATCCAATAGAACACCTCTGGGATATCATATTTCAGCCCATCCAACGCAGCCATGTTGCACCTCTGCATGTCCAGAAGCTCAGTGATGCACAAGTCCAGATCTGGGAGGAAATACCCCAGGACACCATCTATCATCTCATTAGGAGCATGCCCCGATGTTGTCAGGCATGCATAGAAGCACGTGGGGGCCGTACAAACTACTGAGTACCATTTTGAGTTGCGTGAAATTTCAGCAAAATGGATTAGCCTGCTGCATTATCTTTTCACTTTGATTTTCAGGGTGTCTTTGAACTCAGTCCTCTGTAGGTTGATAATTTTCATTTCCAACAAACGATGGGGCATCATTATGTTCCTAACACTTTACCCAGTCCATATCAGTATAGTTATTCAGCATGGTATTTTTCCCCTTTGAGAGCTCATGTGTTTTCAAAGTGCTCCTTTACATTTTTTGAGCAGTATATATATATATATATATATATATATATGAGATATTATCCAACTAAAAGACAATGTAGAACTGTTGGACTAAAAATAAGATACTTAATATGACTCTGCTTGTATAATTTGCACGTTAGTTTAAGGAACCTTTAGAATTGTTTGAGAAGAAAAAATGTAACACTGTTGGAATTA